AACATGCACAACACAGCCCCTACAACAAAGAATTAGCAGATCCAAAATGTCAATAGTGCTGATGTTGAGAAACCATGATGTAGAAGAAGCAAGGCTTTGCTTCTAGCCCTGGCTTTGTAAGAATCATACTTGAGAGTAATTACAGTTAATACAGGTTGGATTGGCTGGTGATTTTACCTACATTCTTTTGCCAGCCTGGCTAGGATTACTTCATCTATGGAAAATGACAGGTGCATAATTCCTCTCAGTTGGTGCCAGAGAAATACCATGTGTATCCCCAGAATGCATAAAGCCAATCTCCTGCAGAATGCATAGAGCCAATCTCCTGGATTTGCCAACACCCAGCCATCATTAACTGTTTTCCAGACACTGCTTTCTTAAGATGTTTATATTCTTGTCCAGATTATCTTTTACTCCTGGCGCCAAGACTTCAGCATTTTTTAGCCATTAGTCTTAAAGGATAGTATTTTCCTTGAGATGTTTTTTTCATTTCTGTATAGTACTTTTAATCTCTTTCACTATTGTAATCATCATTTACAATTCTGGCTTTGGCTTTGGATTCTGCTGGTTTTAAATCTTGGTTGCATTACTTGTCAATCCCCTAGTACACAGTGACAGCAATCTTCTAAACTAGGCTGAGGCCCAGTGAAGTGTGGACAGACACATGTATCTCTTATCTTGCTGTGGTTTCATTTTTCTGCTTGTCTGCTTTAGTCTAAGCTTGTGTCGGGAACTGCAGTGCATCTCCTGTCTCAGCCTAGGGAAGTACGGCTCACAGCTTGTTTTCTCAGAGACAGCTGGGTGCCTTACAGGGTGTGGTTCCCTCCTCCCTGTCACCAGGACAATTCTTTTTCACATTTCCCAGGACAGATGGAGAATGTAGAAATTAATAATTCACAGCGTGCCACATAAATGGTGATCCTTTCTGGAGTGAGACATACTTACATTTTGTTCAAAAACATCTTGATAAAAAGAGGCCTGGTGGTGAACTAGGAGTTATTAGATCCTAGGGAGTGGGAAAACTGGACTAAGGAAATGAATAAGGCAGACATACATTAGTCAGCAATCATCCGCTCAAGAACCTTTTAAGTGCTCATCATACTGAGCTATGTTTAGATAGTAGACTAGCAGAAATATTTACTTGCATATGTTCTTATGATTTATAGGACTCAAAGGTCCTGGTGCTTGTATTTATAATTAAATTTATAGTCAGCCTATGGTTGGTGCTGGGAGAAGAAATAAGGATGTATTGTGAAATACCTTACTGTTCTGAGGGGAGAAGAACATGTTTTCAGACCTGCAGATCCAGATCTAGGTCAGCTGTGTGGTCTCCAGCATTGTAATTCAGTTTGTCACTGACCGTGCCACCAGGCTTGACCAGAAGTAGTGTTCTTAATAAGATTATGGTGATGTTAGTTGCAATGATTCCAGCTGAAGAGTGATTTCATCTGCCTGGAATCATCTGAGTGTTATTGTTCTTTAAGATTAACTGTTTTTCTGTTACAGTGTATAATTATGTTGTTGTGTATATATTTGTAAAACACTTAGTACATTTTGAATGTAGTATTGAAATGACTTTAAAATATTGCTTCTTGCAGCCAGCATCTATGGGGCTGTGGTTAGGGGCACTGACTCCCACATGGCCAACTGCAGTTCAAGTCCTAGACCTAGAGGCTTGCTTTCTCACTTTCCCTCTCTCTCTCTTTCTCTCTCTCTCACCCTGTCTCTCTCTGGTCAAATTAAAACAAATAAGTAACGTTAAATTTAAATATATAAATATATATCACTTCCTACCTCCTTAGTTTTAGTTTGAAAACAGTTCTTGTGAGTTCCTTCTCTTCCTCTCTGACCTTTGTAACTGAAGCCAATAGATGCAAGCCCAAAGCCTTGTATACCACTTTTCTTTGGAATGATGTTGTTGAATTCAATATCTCAGTATTTCACCTAATACTATTTTTATAATTCAATTTGGCACATAGTATCAGAATATTAAACATTCTAAAAGATGAAACAAAAACATTAGCAAAGAGATTTAAAGACCTCTTCAGATTCTGCCTTCATTATAATCATATTACAGAACTCTGTCTATACAGATTTTTCAACGATACAGTTTTGTTTTCAGATTTCCTTTTTTTCTAGTGTAGATAATTAGCATTTAGACTAAGTGTAAATAAATAATCCTCTATCTTGGAGGTAAAGGCATTTGATAGTTCCAAGGAGCACACTTTTATGTTAGTCATACCCTCTCTTTCCTTTCTCTCTTTCTCTCTCTCTCACCCTGTCCCTCTCTGGTCAAATTAAAACAAATAAGTAACGTTAAATTTAAATATATAAATATATATCACTTCCTACCTCCTTAGTTTTAGTTTGAAAACAGTTCTTGTGAGTTCCTTCTCTTCCTCTCTGACCTTTGTAACTGAAGCCAATAGATGCAAGCCCAAAGCCTTGTATACCACTTTTCTTTGGAATGATGTTGTTGAATTCAATATCTCAGTATTTCACCTAATACTATTTTTATAATTCAATTTGGCACATAGTATCAGAATATTAAACATTCTAAAAGATGAAACAAAAACATTAGCAAAGAGATTTAAAGACCTCTTCAGATTCTGCCTTCATTATAATCATATTACAGAACTCTGTCTATACAGATTTTTCAACGATACAGTTTTGTTTTCAGATTTCCTTTTTTTCTAGTGTAGATAATTAGCATTTAGACTAAGTGTAAATAAATAATCCTCTATCTTGGAGGTAAAGGCATTTGATAGTTCCAAGGAGCACACTTTTATGTTAGTCATACCCTCTCTTTCCTTTCTAATGGATGCAATAAAGATAAGTGCTTCATTCATAGATTTAAGGGCATAAATCTAAAGCTCTGTTGCTCATTATGTAACACTTGGATTTTCCTTTTCCATTAATAAGACTCCTTAGGAAATACTAAGTTATTGGAAAACCACTGCTATTACTTATGTTGCTTTAAACCAGAATGGACTTTTTAAAATTCACTAAATATGAGGAGGCCAGACTTGTTTAGTAATTAGCACCAAATTCATATTAAAGAAAGGTTCGTTTGGAAATAGGATCGATATGGGGGGAAATGTAATGATACATTCATGGGGCCTCTTGTATAGGTGAATAGTAGAATTTTATTGTTGAAACCTGACTTGAAAGACCTGTTCTCGTCAGTTTATTCAAGGTTGAAAATGAGTTGTTGTAAGAAACTTTATTAGGTATTTTGTAGCATGAGGTATGTTTATTTTTTCCTGTTAAGTGATATAGCTGGGTTTTTTTTTCTATCCTAAATTTTGAAATGAATGAGATTAGAAAAAACGGAGTCTTAATTTTCAAGGTCCTACAGAACATATGTTTATGAATATATTTCATGTGTAATTGGTAATGAATCAGGTCTTTTTCATGCCACCGCAGTTAGATGGCCTCTGGAGGCTACGCTGGCGGGGAGGGATGCAGTGTGGGCAGGTGGGCTTCTTTCCTTCTCCACATAGTCTCAGGGCCTCTCCACAGCTCTCTCCGACAAGATTGGCAGACTTTTTATGGAGTGGCTTAGGGTTTCCAAAAGTAAGCATTCCATGAGAGAGAAAGCAGTTGTTCCTTTTAAAAATGAGGCTTTTGGGGGCCACCAGGTGGTTTTGTGGTTAAGGCACTGGATTCTCATATGCCAGACCATGGTTTGGAGTCCCAGACCTAATGGCTTGAAAATCAGTCCAGGCATGTGTGGGTGCCCAAAATCCCAAGAGGAGAAAAACAGATTGCAACATGGCCATTCTCCCCCCCCCCCCCGCCCCCCCCCCCGCCGCTCCCGCCTCCCCCCCGGGATGATTTCTCACTTCCCCTCTTTCTGTTTCTTTCTGGTAAGTATACGTACTATATGGGAAATAAAATCTTTAAAAAAAAAAAAGCCTTGGTCTAACAAGGTGTTTCTGCATTCTCTTGCTTAATGCAAATTAGAGGCTCACTCAGTTTCAAACTAGAAGGGAATGAGGATGTGAGACTGTGTTCTTTGGAGGCTATTTTTAGAGATGAATTATCTCAGTAATTAATAAACCTTACTTTATTTAGACAGCATATGAAGAAACTATGTTCTATTTAGTTTAAGCTTCAATTCTAGGGATGGTCAGTTGCACGAACCAAGAATCTATACATGAGATGTAGTTGTTAGCCAGCAGTATGGAAAAAGGACTGTACCATAGAGGCTGCCATCATGAGCACTTTAGCTCTTCAAATCTTGATCAAAACTAGGCCAAGGCTGGCCTCATAGCACAGAAGTTAAGTGTTGTTCATTGGGAGCTGGATCTCAGATGTTCGCACGAGCCAGTGGCTTGAAAAACTTGCCAGGCATGTGTGTGTGCCCCAGATCCTAACAGGATGTAGAGCTGGAGGAAAAGAGATTGTGGCATGACCATGCTCCATGGGGGGAGGGGTGCATTTTCTCTCTCTGGCAAGTGCATGAGAGAGAGAGAGAAAAAAAAAAAAAATGGCCAGGCAGCTGGATATTTCTTGATGGGGCAGGATGTTTCTTGATGGGGCAGGATGTCAGCTCCACAGGATCAATGGGGCTTCCCTAGGCTAAAACTTGTGCCTGAGTCCCTCTTGCTAGTTTTGTCCATTCACCTTAGTAGCTCAAGCTGGGATAGGGGAGTCATAGGTGAGGAGGAGAAAGAGAGCCATTCATCAGGTTGGTTATTGTTTGGGGAGGGGTGGCAGAGGCAGCTCTGTCGTTCAGTCCTTCTTGCTGGTGGTGCCCTGTATAGTGAGTATCAACTACTACAGTGACAGAGATCTTAGAAGCCATCTAGCCTAATCTTTTGCCCATGAACTCAGCAAGCACATTCCTCAGCAAGCTAGAAACAGAACTCTGCTTTATTCCATAAAGTACCAGGACCAATTGACCCTCCTTTAATGACTGCTTTACTGAAAGAACACGTGTATTTGTGGTCATCCAGATTTCACTGGCCCTGACTTTCATCAGGTTGTTGTTGCAGAACGTGCAAATAGAAGCATTCACCAACTGAAATGTGCCCTGAGAGAAGGCAATGTCTCTGTTGAAGAAGATGCACCAGATCCTTCTTTTAGCACCAGCATAGGAAATGAGGATGCTGGGATGGCCTGGCACGAACTGCAGTGCAGCCATGCTGGTGAGCATGAATGTCAGTTGCAGAGTGAATGATTCATCATGAATGACTTGTTGTGAGAAACTATGTTAGGTATTTTGTAACATATGTGTTTTTTTGTTTGTTTGTTTGTTTTCTTTTTCTGTTAAGTGATTTGGCTATTTTCTGTGTTAAACTCAACAGAATAAAGACTCCATTCCATCCTCCACTCTGCTGCTACGATGTTATTCGTAAAACACAAATCAGATGATATAGTTCTCCTGTTTGTCTGTTTGTTTATTTGTCTTCCCAATGTCTGCAGGTTAAAGTCCAAAAATCCCTATTATGAAATAACAATATGTTCCAGAGATAGCTCCAAACTACCCTTTCTGCCTCATTTCATTATCATCATCCTAACCCTTTACCCCACAAGCTATGTTCTAGTCATTAAAAATCTCCTCTCCATGCTTCTGTGTCTTTACACATGCATTGTGCATTGCCTTCTAATCAGAATTGTCCTCATCCTTTTCTGCTTGGCGAACTCCTGTTCATACAATGTACTTCCTCTCTGATTAAGTACCTTCGTTTTTATAGCAGTATGCATAGCTTTAGGTACACATACAAATTTATACTGTTTGTTATCTGTTAGTGCATCGTGCATCTCTCTTTCTTGCTCACTGAATTCTCAGCTTAAAGGGGTAGAGTTTTTTTTTTTTTTCTTAAGAGAGAATTTTGCTGTAGGGTGCATACTCACCTGAGAGAGAGACAGAAAATGGAAATCACCTCCGCAGAGGGGGATGGGGGTGGCCACACCGCAGTCCCTTCTCCTCCATTTTCCTCTCAGGATTTTGAGCACACATTCATGCATGAACATAGTCCTGGCCTGAATTTCAAGTCACTGGGTCCGGGACTCTAGCCGTGGTCAGCCATGTGGGAGTCTAGTGATGTAAATATTACTCCATCTGTTGTTCCTGGAGATTTTTTTTTTAATGTTTTTCTTTGTTTCTCCAGTCAATAGTTCTTGGTGCATAATACATTTTTAAGCAATTTCTGTTGGATGCATGAAGGATAGATAGATGGTGATAAACCATAAAACACAAATAAAGTTAATAAATCCATTGTTTTCACTCTGTAGTTAATCAGCTCAAAGCCCTTTTGCTCCAACAAGCAAGCAAGGAAGTTGAGGACTCTCCAACAAGAAGACAAAAAATGTCTCCTTTGGTAAGTATCAACTTTTGCAACCCAACAAAGCATTAGTTTTCTAACAATATTTTCTTTATAATGTCATTTTAGTAGTACTTATTGTAGACAAATGATAAGTAGGACATGTTAAAAATGTAAAGCATTAAAAGAAATTCTCTTCTTCTTGATTATTTTGGTTGAAGAAAAGAGACTTTTGAGGCAGAGGGAATCTTGATATTTTTAATTTATTATTTACTTGGAATATATGTGCAAGAGACCAGGTCAGGGAATTTATTTTGTAACTGTTAGCAATATATAGAGGTCATGTCTATATCTGATCATTTTTTAGAAGTTACTTAATTATAATTCTGTTCTCCTTTGTGATACTCTTTTATTTTGAATGTCAAAACTGAAGTATGAAATGCGATTATACATGTTAAAATATATGCTTATAAAATAGTTAGAAATGCTCTATTTCTTCTAAGGCTGTTTTTTATTGCTTTGTCAAAGTGTGTTATTCTTGATTAAAGCATTTTATATCCTAATGGTTGAGACAGGTGTGAAAGAAAGAACACGACTATATTTAAATGATGAGAATAGTAATCTAGGCCTTAGATCTATCTAGAATCTATCACATACTTTCTAGAAGGATATTGCATTTGTCCTACAAGGTTTTTGCAATAATAACATAAGATTATATACTTAAAATTCTTTAGAACTCTTTAAATATAAACTTTATATGACTATAATGTGCCATAGCAGCAGACATAACCTTGCCTTTTCAGTGCATGTGATAGTTAGAAACAAAGCCTACACACTATAAAATGTGGAGACATGTCACTTTGCTCATAGCTGAAATGTCATAACAGTACTCCCATATTAATACTTCATTCCAGACTGACACATGCTTTTATGCTTAATTCCTACTGTAGAGAAATGCATTTCATATGCATATTTAATATTTATAGATATAGACTATACTTTTAATAAAACATTTTCTAGTGATGTAAATATTACTCCATCTGTTGTTCCTGGAGATTTTTTTTTTAATGTTTTTCTTTGTTTCTCCAGTCAATAGTTCTTGGTGCATAATACATTTTTAAGCAATTTCTGTTGGATGCATGAAGGATAGATAGATGGTGATAAACCATAAAACACAAATAAAGTTAATAAATCCATTGTTTTCACTCTGTAGTTAATCAGCTCAAAGCCCTTTTGCTCCAACAAGCAAGCAAGGAAGTTGAGGACTCTCCAACAAGAAGACAAAAAATGTCTCCTTTGGTAAGTATCAACTTTTGCAACCCAACAAAGCATTAGTTTTCTAACAATATTTTCTTTATAATGTCATTTTAGTAGTACTTATTGTAGACAAATGATAAGTAGGACATGTTAAAAATGTAAAGCATTAAAAGAAATTCTCTTCTTCTTGATTATTTTGGTTGAAGAAAAGAGACTTTTGAGGCAGAGGGAATCTTGATATTTTTAATTTATTATTTACTTGGAATATATGTGCAAGAGACCAGGTCAGGGAATTTATTTTGTAACTGTTAGCAATATATAGAGGTCATGTCTATATCTGATCATTTTTTAGAAGTTACTTAATTATAATTCTGTTCTCCTTTGTGATACTCTTTTATTTTGAATGTCAAAACTGAAGTATGAAATGCGATTATACATGTTAAAATATATGCTTATAAAATAGTTAGAAATGCTCTATTTCTTCTAAGGCTGTTTTTTATTGCTTTGTCAAAGTGTGTTATTCTTGATTAAAGCATTTTATATCCTAATGGTTGAGACAGGTGTGAAAGAAAGAACACGACTATATTTAAATGATGAGAATAGTAATCTAGGCCTTAGATCTATCTAGAATCTATCACATACTTTCTAGAAGGATATTGCATTTGTCCTACAAGGTTTTTGCAATAATAACATAAGATTATATACTTAAAATTCTTTAGAACTCTTTAAATATAAACTTTATATGACTATAATGTGCCATAGCAGCAGACATAACCTTGCCTTTTCAGTGCATGTGATAGTTAGAAACAAAGCCTACACACTATAAAATGTGGAGACATGTCACTTTGCTCATAGCTGAAATGTCATAACAGTACTCCCATATTAATACTTCATTCCAGACTGACACATGCTTTTATGCTTAATTCCTACTGTAGAGAAATGCATTTCATATGCATATTTAATATTTATAGATATAGACTATACTTTTAATAAAACATTTTATCATTCAGTGAATTTATTACTATTGACATCTGCTGTTTCAAATGCTCTTAAGTTTATAGTGGGTGGAGGGCTTTTAAGTCGATTAGGTGAAGTTGCTTGTTGTATCTGTTGAATGCTCAGATATGTTTATCATCATTTCAGAAACTAAGCAGTGACATTACAGAGTTTATTGAATCAGGATATGCAGGAAAACCTTCATCAAGAACATTAGCTCATAGGGGACCAGCAGTTAGCGTAATGGCTATGTTGCTGGACTCCCATGTAGTCGACCGCGGTTTGCGTCCCAGACCCGGGACATGTGTGTGCGTGCGTGCTCAAGATCCCGAGAGGAGAATGGAGGAGAAGGGATTGCGGTGTGGCCATCCCCCCTGGGGGGTGATTTCTCGCTTTCTATCTCTCTGTCTCTCTCTGTCTGTTTGGCGAGCGCACGCACCCTATAGTGAAAACCTCTCAAAAAAAAAAAAAAAAACAAAGAAGAACATTAGCTCATAGAATATACTTTAAAATACCCAAGTCTATTTATATGGAGTTATGTAAAAGAATGGAACTTAGATTCCATCAATAAATGTATACAACATATATGTATTGAATAAATATTTCATAGTATGAGTTTTCAGGCAATAACAAACCACGCCTATGACAATGATCCATAGCATGGAGCTGAAAAATTCCTGTAACTTACTATCATAGTAACTGTCATAATTTTAGTGCAATGCATTACTCACATTCATGTAAAAAACCTACAAAAAAAAAAAAAAACAAAGAAGAACATTAGCTCATAGAATATACTTTAAAATACCCAAGTCTATTTATATGGAGTTATGTAAAAGAATGGAACTTAGATTCCATCAATAAATGTATACAACATATATGTATTGAATAAATATTTCATAGTATGAGTTTTCAGGCAATAACAAACCACGCCTATGACAATGATCCATAGCATGGAGCTGAAAAATTCCTGTAACTTACTATCATAGTAACTGTCATAATTTTAGTGCAATGCATTACTCACATTCATGGTGATGCAGGTGTAAACAAACCTACTGTCCTGCCAGTTGTATAAAAGTACAGCAACATAGGGATCAGCAGATGGCATAATGATTATGTCACTAGACTCCCATGTAGTCGATCACGGTTTGAGTCCTAGATGCAGCAGCTTAAAACTCATGCTGGGCATGTGTGCGTGTTTTCCCCAAATCCTGAGAGGAGAATGGAGAAGAAGGGATTGTGGCATGTCCAGCCTCCTTGGGGGGGGGGGGTGATTTTTCACTTTGTGTCTCTCAGTTTCTCTTTGCCTCTCTGGCAAGTACATGTGAAACTATAGCCAAAAAAAAAAAAAAAAGTATAGCTATGCAACTATGTACAGTACTTAATACTTGATAATAAGTGACCGTTACTGGTTATATGTACATATGTGTATATACATGCACACACATACACACACACACAAATAGATAGATAGATAGATAGATATTTTAGAGAGAGATTTTTGCTATAGGGAGCATGCATTCACTGCAGAGACAGAGACAAACACAAAGTGAGAAATCACCCTCTGGGGGAATGGCCATTCCACAATCCCTTCTCCTCCCTTCTCCTCTTGGGATTTTGGGCATGTGCGCACATGGGCCAGGCATGAGTTTTAAGCTGCCAGGTCCAGGACTCAAACTGCAGTTGACTACATGGGAATCCAGTGATGTAACCATTATGCCCACCTGCTGGCCCCTACAAAATTTTATACTAACTTTTGATCATTATTTTAAAGTATATTCCTCTATTTATCAAATAGAGTGTACCATAAAACATAACGCCTTGTTATTCTGGCAGTAGCCTCATATTTGTCATATGTATACCACATTTCTTGATTGCATGTTTTTTTTCTCATGCTTGATTTAACCTTGTTTTGTTCATCATGGCCACTAAGCATCCAGAACCATTGCTAGTGTAACCAGGAAGAGGTCAAGTCAACTTACTGATTTGGAAACAAAATTAAAAGTAATTAAAGACTACAGAGGTAGAAAAAAAATCAGTGATAGTTATTGCTCGCTAGTCTCATGCCACCATTGCTACAGTCATGAAGAACAATGACAAAGTAGCAGAAACTGTTAAAATATCTGCTTCATTTAAAGGAATGAGACCAGCAAATGCATTAGATATGGAGAGACTTCTGGTTATGTAGATTGAAGACCAGATATAGAAGCACCTTAGACATCAATCAAAGCACAGTTTGTGATGTTGAAAGAAAAGACAAGACCAGACCCACTTGTGATATTGCATTTACTGTGAGTTCTGGGTAGTTTATACAATTCAAGAATAATTTTTCATTATATAATGTAACAGTGAGTGGTGAGTCTGCAAGTGCCAATGTGAAGACCGCTGAAGATTTTTTTGAAACTGTAGATAAGCTGAATGTAGAGGAAAACTATATACCAGAGAAAGTTTTCAATATGGATGAAGCTTCCCTATTCTGGAAACAGATACCTAACAGGACTTTCATCTGCAAGGTGACCAACTCAGTGCCAAGTTTCAGTGCTTTTAAGGACAGGATAACAGTCTTGCTTGTGGCCAATACTGTGGGCTACATATTGAGATCTTTTGTGATCTAACACAGTGAGAAACTCAGAGCTTTCAAGTATTTCAGTAAGCACACACTGTCAATGTACTACAAAAGCGTTGAGAAGTCATGGACAACAAAATTGCCTAACAATGCAGTTCTCGGATCCCCATTGTTAAGCAACACGTGACCATAATTACAAGTCATAATAATAATAGGTATCTTTTTAAATATTGTATCCTTGGAACACATTTTTATAATCAATGTGACATATCAGATATATGAGTTATATTTAGGGTGAAACTGAAATACTCATTAAGGTGGAAAATATATGTAGGTATTATTATTTTAAAATATGGATGTCCAAACTATATAAAGTCTTCAAAGTGTGTATAAATGATATGTGGAGCTTCCAACAAGGTGGCTGACTACAGATGCCTGATGTTCTTCCCTCAAAAAAATGATCAAATAAAAAAAAGAATATGCAGCTGATATTCAGATGAGTGTTTGAGAGTGTATGGTGGAAGCCCCAAATCTAAGAAGTCCAGCAGGGAAAGACTTGAGTTTATTACTTACATAGGTAATACAGGGTGGTCTGCTAATGGCTGGGTGGAGAATGGTCTGTACTGTCATGGAGTATAGGCTCAGGTTGTACATGTTAAGAACAAAGCATTCATAAATTTTTTAAAGATCAGTGTGGATTCTCTGCCACCAAGACAGGGGTCTGGTTTGTACTTACATTGTTAGAATGTTACAATAAAAGGTCAGCTTATCGATGAACAGAATCAGCAGAGTATGATTAGGGTCTAGTGCCCCTAATCTTGTGACGTTAGTGGGGGAGGGCTACACATATCCCTGGAATGGCCTTGGCTGTGGGCCAGTTCTATCAGATGAAGGTGATGGTTATAAGATGTTGATGAGCCCCAGCCGTGGCTTACAGCAGCTCTCAAGGAATACAGGACAATGAGGGTGGGGGGAGAGCTCAGTGTATGATGCCTACTCACAGAGAAGGTACTGAAGTGTACTGGGGGTGTGGTAGAGACTTTGTGGATTACGAAGACTCAGGATGGCCTTGTAGAGGGGAGAGCAAAGCATCTTACATGTGCTGCCTGGTCTTTCCAGTCGAAATTGGATTGTAATCAGAAGGGATTTTTGAAAAGGGGAGAGGGTAAATCAGAGACTCTCAGCAGCCTCTGTTAATACATCAGACGCCTGAAGTCTTCGTTAATCCTGCAGACTCCACAGGCTCTGGGGAGTTCTTTGGGGATCTACATCGTTTAACTGCCCCTGTGGAAGATTCCTGGCCATATTGTACCCTCCTCAACCTAGGCTGTGGTGCTCAGAGTCATCTTATGGCCACCTCCATCTGTATCCTGCAAGAGCAGCTAGGAAGGCAACTCTGCCCACAACCCAGCCTCTGAGCCCCTACCACCTAGATTTCTGGTGGAAGCAGCTGGGAAAGTGACCCCACCCACTGCCCAGCCCTTGAGCCCCTACCACACAGATTCTGGTAAGAGCAGCTAGGAGAGTGACCCTGCCCAAAGCCCAGCAGCAGCAGAGTCCCGGAATCTTGTGTATTTGTGTATAGGACAGAGAAATAAGTACGATAGCTACATGGTGATCTAGTCTAAGTTTATATCATATCAATGCTAAATTGAGTGTGAAGAAGGTACTAACTGTTCCTTTCCTCAATCCAAACATGCTTAATTTGGCTTCTTTGCTCTAGAGGTCATCAAAATACGAGGAAACTAATATGCCGACCGTGCACAACCTTGTTCCTATCATTAATGACCAATCTCAGTACATTCATCATTTAGAGGCAGAAGTCAAGTTCTGCAAGGTAAGTTTGTCATTAAACATTTAAACCTAAACAGTTAAAGTTTATCTTCAGTTAAAGTTTGTATAAAAATTTGCTATCAGTGGTCTTCATATTTATAATGATACATTGGCAATTGGCATCTTAAATTACTGAAGGACTAATGTGTTACAGGAGCTTGTCAGACTTAGGAATAATATTTGACCATTCCATTTCTGATTGCTTGATTTCTTAGTAGCCTATTGCTATGTCTAATGATTTCATAATATGCTCTCATGTTTCAGAATTTTTCCTTTTTACCCCATTTAACTTAAGCTTAATAGATGGCAAATGGTTTGCAATACTAGTATCAATCATTCTCTCACAGTTGCTAGCCTAGTGAAGCTTTAGTTAGTATAACCATCAGAGGTTCTAAGCTGGTAGGCCAAATCTATGTTGTCAGTGTTAAGGCTCTTACCCTGACTCTGAACGTTAAGAAGGCTCAGGGGATACTCATAGTAATGATCAAGACACCAGATGCATCACCTAGAGCTCACAAGAATGGAAGATCATTGTGCCATGTGCAGTTTACTAATTTTTTTTAGAGAGAGATCTTTTGCTGCAGAGCATCTGCATTCTCTGGAGAGAGAGAGAGAGACCGAGAGATAAAAAGGAAGAAATCTGTCTCCCCTTCCCCCAAGAGGATGGCCATACCACAATTCCTTTTTCTCTATTCTCCTCTCGTGATTTTGGGCACACATGCACATGCACCCAGTTTGAGTTTTAAGCCACCAGGTCCAGGACTCGAACCACGATTGACTATGTGGGAGTCCAGCAATGTAACAATTACACCACCTGCTGGTCCTGTAATTTACTAATATTTATGCCATTAGAACCATTCTACCTTCCCAAAGTGTGTTAGTGTTGGTGCCTCCCTTTTGTTTTTAATATTAGTGTATCAGCTTGTGTTACATTTTTATAGGAATTACTGATACTTACTCTATCATGTATTATTTCTTTAACATTCTGGATAATCTAAGGTGCAAGGCTGGTATATAATATAAAGAAACTTTAGATGTTTCATCGACTTAGTTTTATAATCAAATTCCTGACCTTTTTTTAAAAAAAAATTATTATTATTATTTTTAATTACCAGTGATCATGTATACTTGACAGAGAGACACAGAGAGAGAGGAGGAGAGGGAAAAAGCATCCTCCAGTGAGACTTGGTCATACCATAATCCCTTCTTGACAATTTTTCCATCCTGTTGGGATTTGGGGCACACATGCACATGCACCAGGTGTGTTTTCAAGCCACTGGGCCAGGATTTGAGTCTCAGTCAGTCATGTGGGATTCAGTTCTCTTAACCATGAGGCTATAGGGCCAGCACCTTTTTAAAAAACTTTTTTTTCCTCGAGAGGGCACTTCCTGATCTTAACATGTAGTTTTCTCTTTATGCTTGGAGGACACATTATTATATGCAAGTAGTACTATACTGGATTACTGGTAAAGCTGAAATAATATCTTAGGAATCATTTTATTAAGAAGAATCTTTTAATTCATAAGATATTGTGAATAAAACTTAAAAGATATAAAGAAGAATACATTTATAATCTAGTTAGAAAGACAGAATTATTACCTCCAAGCATGGTAGCAGCTCAGTAGAGAACATACGTGGACCTTTATTCCATGGTGTAAATTATGATTATAAGCAGAGAAGAAGGCTGTGAAAAGCCATGTTCTTTGGGGATGATAATATGGGAGAGGAATATCTTGAATAAAGCTTAAAGTAATAGAATCATTATTAGATCAGCAGAAGGAAGTTGAAAGAGTTTCATGAAGAACAGAACAGTGGGAGGATATATTCAGGTTTAATATTTATGGTAGCCATGAGATGTATACTCTATCTTCCTACAGTGGACTTTTATCTCATAAAGATAATGGGGAAAAAATGCTCAACTGGTAATTTGAAAGATTGCAGAAGTTTTTAAAGTTAGGCAGAGTGTAAATGTGATACGTTTTAACAAGGCATGAATAGAAAGTAATATTTAAAAGGCTTAAAATGATTTTATGCATGGGCTATGTGGTGATGCAACATGGGAAAGAACCTAGTTTTGCAGCCTGTAACCTTCCCGAGCATGCTGGGCATGCGTGTGTGTGCCTGCTATCCAGGCCAGCTGACACTGAGAGTGGCTCAGGTGTGAAGACCCTGTTGTGTCTCTCAGAAGAAATAAATAAGCTTAAAATATTTTTTTATCTTTTTAGCTAATAGCCTTTTTTGTTGTTGTTAGATCAGTTTTAGGTTTACAGAAAAACCAAATAGGAAGTGCAGTTTCCATATACTCCTCTAGGTTGGCCCCACCTCACAGTTTTTCCCTTATTAACAACATCTGGGCATCAGTGTGGTACATTTGTTACAATGGATGGATCAATAGTGTTACATTATTATTAACTAGATCCCTAATTTACATCAGCACTTGTGATCTGTGTTATGTTTTCTGAGTTTCAACAAATGTGTAATGACTTGTATCGTACAGAATAGTTTCACTACTCAAAACAGCACCTATACTTCACCTGTTCCTCCTTCCTTCCCTTCTCCTGTCCCTTTCCCTTCCCCTGCCCAGCCCCAAACATTACTTACCTTGTTACTGTGTCTATATTTTGTCTTCCCAGAATTCCATATAGCTAGGATTGTACAATAGTTAGCCTTTTCAGACTGGCTTATTTTACTTAATAATATGAATTTAAGGTTTCTTAATGGCTTGATAGCTCATTTCTTTTTTATTCTTGAATAATATTCTATCATATGGATATACCATGCCTTGTCTACCCACTTACCTATCCTGGACATTGTGGTTGCTTCCAGGTTTTAGCCATTGTGAATAAAGCTGCTATAGGCATTTGCATTTTCTTATCAACATAGGTTTTTAGCACATTGGGTAAATACAAAGAAGCAGATTTTTGGATCATATAGTATATTTAGATTTATAAAAAGACTGGAAATTACCCTCTGATTACTTTCATATTACCCTTAATTTTGCTTTGTTTTGAGTTTCTCAAATAGAAGTGATGAAATGAAATACAGCAGAATGTTAACTCATATAAAAATAGAGCATATCCAAATATTGCAGTGTTAAACAAACAAACAAAAGACTGCCAAACTGTTTTCCAAAATGGCTGTATCTCTTTGCATTCCCACTAGCAATGAATGAGAGTTTCTGGTATGCTGTATCCTTGCCAGCATTTGATATTGTCAGTGTTTTAGATTTCAGTCATTCTAATAGTTGCTTAGTGGAACCCTGTGATTTTTTTTAATAAGTTTATTTGTTCTCTTTGTGTGTGTATGTCGTGTGTGTGTGTGTGTGTGTGAGAGAGAGAGAGAGAGAGAGAGACAGAGAGAGAGACAAGGAGAGAAGGAGAGAGATAACAGGGTTCCATTCTGTGATCCGCCCTATTTAATCTGGCCCAGACCTCTGGCGTGCACATGTACATGCACATGCACTCGCAAGGTGCTCAAGGAGATACTGGGATGCAAACCCAGGACCTTTCAAATGTAGATCTAGTTGGGTTACTGTGCTACCATTTGATCTCTCATTATTGTTTGGATTTCAATTTCTTTGACATAACATTGAGAATCTTTTTAGATGTTTATTTCCCTCTATATATATTCTTTGCTGAGATGTCTGTTCAGGTCTTTCTTCCATTTTTAAATCAGTTTGTTTATTTCTTAAGAATTGTTAAGATTTAAGAGTCCTTTGTATGTTTTGGATACTAGTCTTCTACCAGATATCTGTTTTGCACATATATTTTCCCAGTCTGTGGCTTGTCTTTTTGATTTTCTTAACTGTGTCTTTCACAGAGCAGAAGTTCTTAATTTTAATAAAGTTTGACTTACCAGTCTTTCTTTCATAGTTAATGTTTTTGGTATTGTATATAAAAATCATTACCAAAGTATTGCCCATATTTTATGCTTTTTTTTCTATCCTTTTTTTTTTTTTGTAAGTGTTTTATAATGGTGTATTTTACATTGAGATCTATGTTCCAGTTTGAGTTAATTTTCATGTAAGGTATAAGATTTATGTTGGTTCTTTTTTTTTTTTTTAACCCTATGTATGTTCAGTTGTCCTCATACCAGTTCTTGAAAAGACTTATCCCTACCTCTGTTTCGTTGTCAAAGGTTAGTTGACTGTATTTATGTGACTTTACTTCTGGGCTATCTTGATACATTTATCTGTTTTACTAATTTTGCCAGCATTGTACTATGTTCATTACTGTAGCTTTAAATTAAGTCTTGAGTTTGAGAGTATCAGTTCTTCAACTTTGTTCTTCAATATCGTGATGGGTATTCTGGGTCTTTTACCTCTTTATATAAACTTTAGAATCAGTTTGTTGCACACTACCCCACAGTTTTGTGCAGTTATGTACAAAATAGGATGTTTACTAGAATTATTTTGAATCTATGGATCATGTTGGAAAAAACTGACATTTCAGCAATATTGAATCTTTTACGTGGGTTTCTTTCATTAGAGTTTTATTCTGTAAGGAATCTTATACCTATTTTTGTGAGATTTATACCATTTCATTTTTTTAGCGTTAAAATAAATGTTATTACGTTTTAAATTTCAAGTTCCAATTACTCATTGTTATATAGAAGAAAGCAATTGATTTTTGTGCATTAACCTTGTGTTTTACAACCTATTATAAGCTGCTTGTTAGTTCTAGCATACTTGGTTGGTGATTATCAGTGATTTATTTAATTAATTAATTTATTTTTAATTTTGTCAGAGAGAGACAAAGTGGTGTGTGTATATGTGTGTGTGTGTGTGTGTGTGTGAGAGAGAGAGAGAGAGAGAGAGCCGCCAAGGTCAGGACTCCAACTAGAGTTGGCCATGTGGGAATCCAGTGCCCTTAACCACCATGCCACCTGCCAGCCCCCATGTCTTATTCTTGATCTCTGAGGGAAACTACCTAGTTCTTGTTTTTGTGTTTGTTTTTTTACCACTAAGCATGATGTTAGTTATATCTCACTCATAGATGTGCTTTA